ATCTTAATTTTCTAATTTGACGCGGGGAAAATAAATTTATTATTTTTTTAAAAGTCTCGTGAAATAATAAATTTTGGGATGAAGTTTACTGTCCCATTTAATTTGACTTTTCTATAATCTTTTTAACGATATTCAAATTCAAAACTTGCACGTGATTAAATGATCACGATTTAAAATGAGAATAATAAATTATAATAACAAAACAACTTTAATAAATAATTGATAGTTTAATTTTTATATTTAATATTATATAACCGCTCGTAAGCAAAAAGGTCCTATGGTCTAGTGGTTAGGACATTATACTCGGGATCTAGTAACCAAATTCGGAACTTATTTTCATTCCTTTTCCTTTTATCTATCTATTTATTTATTTTGTAACTAATTTTTTTTTTCCTTTTTCCTTTATCTATCTATTTATTTATTTGGTAACTTCTTTTTTTCTTTTTCCTTTATCTAACTATTTATTTTTTTATCTATTTTTTTCCTTTTTTTTTTCCTTTATCTATCTATTTATTTTTCTTTTTCCTTTAGTCATCTATTTATTTATTTTTAATCTATTTTTTCCTTTTCCTTTATTTATCTATTTATTTATTTTTATCTATTTTTTCCTTTTCCTTTAGTTATCTATTTTTTTTAATCTATTTTTTCCTTTTCCTTTATTTATCTATTTATTTTTTAAAAATTGAATTACAATCTATAAACAAAATTCAAATCAACTATCATTTACTGATTTAGGTTATTTGAGTAAATTAATTAAATACACAATAAAAAAAAAAGGTCCTATAGTCTAGTGGTTAGGACATTGGACTCTGAATCCAGTAACCCGAGTTCAAATCTCGGTGGGACCTCCTTTTTTACAACAAAATTACAACTTATAAAGAATTTAATTCAAATTAATTTTAATTTATAAGATAGGATATTACACAATTATTACAAACAACTGTAAAGCAATATAATAACATAAAAATAAAAAAATAAAAAATAAGTAGGCAAAAAGATAAACTTTCATGATTTCAAACCCCTTTTTCTCTATATTTTCCATATGGTGCCTCTCTTACTTATGACCCAATCCCTCTTCGGCTTTGCTTTGTGGAAAGAAAAGCCAAACCAAAAATGGGAGCTCTTCATTACCTTTCCAACTTTTGCACTGTCTCATCAACTACAACAAGAAGCAAACACAAGCCTATGCAGGTACCAACAATTTGTTCACAATTTCCCCCATCTTTTATGTCTTTTTAATTCATGTTACGTGTTTTTTTAGACGGTCGAGATCAAAGTGAAGATGGATTGTGATGGATGTGAAAGAAGAGTTAGAAACGCCGTCACTTCCATGAAAGGTCAGATCATTTTGTCTCCCTGATCAAGTTCTTTCAACATGATGTTGCCTCGGTTCTTAAAAGGGTATCTTTCTGTGAGATTCCACATCGATCGGATACTGAATCTCAAAGTGGGTGGATTGTGAGATCCCATTTTGGTTGGAGTGGAGAACAAAACATTCTTTAAAAGGGTGTGGAAACCTCTCCCTAAGACACATGTTTTAAATATCTTGGAGTGGAAGCTCAAAGACTGTTCTTTGTTCTCTGTTTGCAACCGTTGAAGATATGAAGTTGAAATATGACCCGAACATTGACCGATGTAGGAGTGACGACAGTGGAGGTGATGAGGAAGCAACATAGGGTGAGGGTTAGTGGGTATGTTGATGCAAAGAAAGTGCTTAAGAGAGTAAAAAGCACAGGAAAAAGAGCTGAATTTTGGCCTTACATTCCACAGCATCTTGTTCATTACCCTTATGCCTCAGGAGCTTATGATAAGAAGGCTCCTGCTGGGTTTGTTAGGAATGTTGTGCAAGCTTTTCCAACAGCACATGAAGACAACTATGTCTCTGTTTTTAGTGATGACAATGTCAATGCTTGTTCGGTCATGTAGTTTTCGTTCTCCCGCACGTGCTCTCTCTCTCGTTTTTGGTCAAGTAAAGACTAGAGATTTGAACTTCAAGAAGGACGCGCTGAAGAAATCAACTCGGAGGAGGGTTCTTCGTTTGAGTTGTGTCGTTGTCGACGATGAAACCCTTTCTTTTTTATCTCTCGTGTAAAATTGTATTGTATGGAATAACGTAAAACGATGTTTTTAATGTTCTATTGTATTCCGACTCTAAATTTAAAAATTTTAATGACTATGTTTATATTAAAAAACAAAACTTTCATTTCTTCTTATAAATTCATTATTATTATTATTATTATTTTTTTTTGTTAAATTAAAATGTTCATGATATAAAATAAAACCCGCAACCTTGAGGTTATCCTGCACTTGAAAGAAGAAGTAGAAAAAAGAATAAATATAGTGATAATTTTATTCTTCGATCACCGTATTATAAATTATATGTTACTATAATAATATTTTATATTCAATACGTAATTACAAGTAGTTTTATGGTTTCTAAATGTATAATTTCAAACATCTTTTGAACACGTGTTTAAAATATATAATTTTAAACCTTCATATCTATTAAAAATACATAAGGTTTAAAATTACATATATTTTTTTTTTAATTTTTTAAAGTTAATTAAGCCTCTAAATTTAAAATTTAGAGTTCTAGATTTTTTCAACCTAATAAATAAACTTAACGCTAAATTTATAATTTCATTTTCAAAAAATTAGTAAATAATTATTTTAAAATTTTTAAAGAAGTTAAAATCTATTATTTAAATATATTCACGACATTTTACGGTTTATTTTGTATGTTTCATAATTTTTTTTATATAATATACTACATTCACCTCTTATGTCGATATCAAAATTCATGGGTATATAAAAAATGCGACAAAAATTTAATATCTTAAATTTTCCAATATATTAAAGAAAAAAAGGTGTTAGATTCTTCCTTTCAATGGGTTTGATTTAAAATATTAGTTAGAAGCAAACCATAAAAAGATATTAAAAAGATGAATAATTGTGATGAATTTCATATTTAGTTTGGGAATGTTTGAAAATAATTCCCACCCATGATTCAAGGCCCAAAATTATGTAATTATTTCCAAAAAGATTCATTATTGTAAAAAAGAAAAAGACATAAAATAAAAATAAACCATTTTTATGTTCTAATAATGCACTACGTGACAATGAATGTGCCTCATTTTTCAACCATACTTCCTCATCTTCTGGCTTTATAATACTTAGTGGAATAACCTATATCTATTCCCCTTTTTGTATTTATTAAATTCCCGGGTGTTTGACCTATTGTGATGCTCTTATAAATGATGGATACATAAACGAAACGTGTAACAATCCATGTCTAAGATGACCCTGACATTCTTCTATGACATGATCATGTTATCTACTTCTCGCTTTTTAAAAGTGAAACACTATCTCCACAAACAACAGGAATCTTTTCAATCCCAAGAAATTTCTAGAAGGTCATTTAACAAATAATAAATCTTTTTAAAATCTTTTTTAGTTATTATATTCTCATTCAAATGCTGTATTAATTCATTCATGTATACCTTTGTGTCCAAAACCAGACTATATCCAAATGAGAATGATAGTTAAAAAATACAGAATAAGATGCACATTTCTTTTTTCTAACTCACTTAAAAACTCTACGATTAAACATTCTTGACTTGAAGCAATTCTTTATTAGGTGAAGGACGTGAGTAAGATTAAAGTATGCTACATGAACTTATGTTGATCTGTCCAGACCGTCTTTAAATAAGGTCAATATTTTTAGGATTCACATATTTTTAAGTTTTAAAGTTGAATTAAATAAAATTTTATTTTATGCATAATAGATTAATTAAATTTTAAATTTTTTTGGAATTAAAAATTCTAATGAAAGTTGAAAATTTTGTTAGTAATTACATATTAAATTGGAAAATTAAATAGATATTTTGGTCCAACTTTTGCATGATAAAAGAAATGTCCTTGGGATTCTAACCCACAAAGTTTTATTTTAATTTTAATTTTAATTTTTTATTCTTAGTGACAATGCACCAAATAAAAGTATGATTTTCAAAATGTTTGTTTTAATTAAATGAATATATGTGGTCCCTTTTCATCTCAAAAGAAAAAAAGGTTGAGTTGGGTTAAGTTTAGTTTTCTAAGAACTGAATAGGTTGGGTCGGGTTCGAGTTTGATATGCATAAGGTGGATTTGACTATCCGAACAGAAAATAAATATAAAAAATTTTAGGGTTGTCTTATTGTTTGTTATCGTGTCCCCTTCACTGAATCGCAAGCCTTATTTTCTCTTCTACCTTCCGTTTTTAAGTCAAACATACTGATAAGGAATCAATACAAGGGAAGTAAAATTCGAATTACTTTATCAAATATTTCAAGGCAAAAACATTTGTCTAAAATTCGAATCACTCCACAAACAAGATTAATCATGTTGAACTTAAATGATCCTACCTGCAACCTAAATTACATAGAATTTCAAAGAAATTTAACCATTGGCTAAAAAAAAGCACGAATGCTTCTTTTCCTGCATTTTCCAAATCTACTTACAAATACAACATACATGGTTTTATATAGCCTCAAAATGAAAATACAACATACATAGTTTTATATAGCCTCAAAATGAAACTATTAAAAACAAGAGTTAGTAATATTCATACTTTATGGTTATAATTAACTACTCGGGAAGGGTAACCTAAAATAAATAAGGTTTTAAAATATATTAATAAAATACAATAACTCTAAATTTAACCCACCAAAAAATTTATAACAATAAAACTTAATTCTTGTTTAATGTGTCATAAACTCAAATATTATTTTAATAACTTTAACAACATTTTCTTCACATCTTCAATTAATTATATGGTATGATTGATGTCTCTCGGTTCATATCACAAACAAACTCAATTAAAACTTTCCCTCAGTAAATCAATTTTATCTTAATTTTACAATTAGATACAAACTCAACAAAAGAAGAGGAAATTAAAAACTATATATATCGAAGTTAAAAATTCAAATGAAAAAAATGAATTCTCATTTCTACCCATGAAACGAAGTGAGAAGGAAAAAGAGTTGAATGGTTCCCGAAGCCGTTGAGAAAATCCCACATTCGAGATAGAAAATGAACATTTGTAGGCTCCGTTCCCGCCTTGTTCTTCTTCAATCTGTTCTGCATTCATCTTCTTCAAGGCCAGCCCTCTTCTCCCCTAACCTTTTACTCTCAGATTCTTAATCAAATTAAGTCAATTTCATGTTTACTCGCTTCTACTTGCATTTGGATTTTTGTTTCGATATCGAATACAACACTCTTACAGACAACATATATGTATATTTACATCTAACCAATTGTCTTTTCTTCAGATTACAAGCTGTTGTCTCGGATTATAGTGCAAGAATTTCAAAAACTTGGATCGATTATGGGTTTCGGCCAAATTTCCAAGGCAAGTGTTGGGTGGCTTAAAATTTGCGTCTTCGATTTTATACTTTTCTGTAATTGTTGGCTTGATTATGGGGTTGATTGGTGAATGGGGATGGTGTTTGTTATGAAGTTTGGAAGTTATATGTTGATCGCTTGTGGTGGCAATGTTTGGTCATACACTAATTTGTTGTGCGCACCATCTGTTTGTTAAAAGTCCTGAATGAAGCTGCTGTTGGGCACTTACAAAATTTTCATTTCTGGCTTCGGTAGTGTAGGCTTGGTCATTGGAGTTTTGTCTGGTTATTCATGTTGTTACGGATTTCTGCTGTTTCTCTTTATTTGTCTGGGACTTTATATCTTTTGCTCCGCAATGAATGTTGCTTGTGTTTACTTTCTCAGTGAGCGTGTAAAGTAGAATGGTTTACATAATGTCTATTTTCTGTATGCTGGCTGGCCATGATTTTGCATTTTGAGACGAGAATATATATATATGTGATGAAAAATCAAGGTTTTATTGAGAAAAGACAAGCCCAATATGAAACAAGACCTCTTCCATCATCAATCAATATGTAGCTGAAGCAAAAGTCCCAGCAAAACTCACACAATAGCAAAAAGTGATAGCAAATCTTGTGGCTACTTGTACTAAAAACAAGCATTAACAGTAAACTGGCAACTCCATTCAGTATTGGAATGAGAAATATTAGATTGATCGTATTTACTACTCTGAAACCATGTGATATGGGAAGTGAGAGCTTGACCTGTATTTAGTGGGGATGCCATTTAGAAAATTGGCTTTGGTTTGATGCTACAAAGTTCAGAATCAGATACGAGTGTGTGCTGAAATTAAATACACGGCCAACTGGAACACTTGGATTGCAGGCATGTCATTATTTGTAACCGCCCAAGCCCATTGCTAGCGGATATTATCCTCTTTGGGCCATTTCGGGCTTCCTCTCAAAGTTTTTAAAACACGTCTCTTAGGGAGAGGTTTCCTCACCCTTATAAAGAATGATTTGTTCTCCTCTCCAACCGATGTGGGATCTCACGATCTACCCTCCTTCGGGGTTTAGCCTTCTCGCTGACACATCGCCCAGTGTCTGGTTCTAATACCATTTGTAACGGCCTAAACGAGATCTACCCTCCTTCGGGGTTTAGCCTTCTCGCTGACACATCGCCCGGTGTCTGGTTCTAATACCATTTGTAACGGCCTAAACCCACCGCTAGCAGATATTGTCCTCTTTGGACTTTCTTTTTCAGGTTTTCCCTTAAGGTTTTTAAAACGCGTCTGCTAGGGAGAGGTTTCCTCACCTTTATAAAGAATACTGTGTTCTCCTCTCCAATTGACGTGGGATCTCATATTATTACCATGTTTGGATTTGGATGTGCGAAAACAACAGTAACGGAGAGGAAGGTTTAAGTATTTGTCAGAGAAGGATTATGCCTGTTTCTTAATCATTAAATTGTTTGAACGTATATGATTTTACATTCTTCAAACCTTTGTAATTTGCAGTTAAGGATTTGTGCTTCTGATTATGAGCTTCTGCTATTTTCATATATTATGCAGTATCAAGATCATATTCACGTGATGAGCGCAAACATTATGATCTTTTTGGAAAAGTCCGGCCTGGTGATAAGGAATTCAGGAAAGCCTGGGAAAAACAGATGAATAAAGAACAATCTACTTTATGGACAGACAGCGACGATGAGAAAGACGATAAAGAAGCGAAAAAAAACCGCCTCGAAGACGAGATAAGAAAGGTAAGGCAGCAGGCAAAAGAACACTCAGACTTGATTGATGCTGATGATAGTGATGAATTATGGAGTGTTTGGTCAGGAAGCGACGAAGAAAAAACCTTGTGGACTGGTAGTGAAGACGACGACGACGACGATACTCCTACAGAGGCCTACCCGAATGAAAGTAGTGACAAATACATAGATAGAATATTTGAATTCGAGGAAACATCGAAATACCGAACGATTTCGGAGCTATTGAAATCTGAACAGGAACCAGAAGAGTTATCCCCTGGAAAACAAGCCAGGAAAGTAGCAGTGGAGAATGCATTGAAGAAGCTGAAGAAAGGACCGGATGGGCGATATACCAATGTGTGGGAGGTCATGAGTGATATAGACATCTTAATAGGAGCATTCGAAAACATAGTCTCAGGGCCTGAATATGCAGAGCTGAGGCAGGGAGGGGAGAAGAAACTGAATATGCAATTTTTCAAGGACATACAAGCACGCATGAGAGATCCAAATTTCAAATTCTCACAAGAACTGAAGCTGAAACCAAAGAGCAAAATGGTTTCCCAAAAGAAGTGGCAGAAAGCTCAGTCTAGACGAAGGAAAGCACAGAAGCGATGAGTAAGCTTTGTTTTGCTACCCTTTATGACTTCAGAAGTTATCTGCTTATTTATGGATTATAGGCTTAGTGTTCACATGTCTCTGTGATGGCTGCTTGCGTTCATAACTAAAGCACACAACCGCATAGTTTATCAGAATTCTTGTGGGCAGATCCCTCAAATATATTAGGTTCATCTCTATGTTCAGTTCATACATGATGGGTGTTCTTTCAAATTCTTTTAGTTCCTATTCTCACATAATTAGGTTCATCTCTATGTTCCTGCCTTTACACTTTCAAAAATAGCTTTAATAACTTCAGCATTTTAAAAAAGAATTTAAAAAATGCATTTATTGTTAATATATGAAAATGTACCATTTTCTAAATATTTATCAAATATATATATATATATATTTATTGGTTCCAGTATTATTATTATTATTTTAAAATTTTTCATTATCTAACGCAAATCAAGGGGAGCAACTTCCATGATCCGCCATATTCATATATTAAAGTGATCATTCTTTAAAAATTTAGAATAAAATAAAAATAATAAAATAAAAAACGTGTATCCAAGATTTATTTAAATAAATAAATAAAATGTCACATTATCAAACCAATTTCCTAGCTTTTTTTTTTCAATTATTGATATTTTTAATGCATTGTTGGTGATTTGTTTTCTTTTTTTTTTTTTAGAAATATACAATATTACAAGATCCTAAATGAGTCTTATTTAAAAATATATATATTAAATGTGTCAATCATATTTTTAAAATTATGGCATAATACTCTCTATTATTATTTTTTTTAATTTTAATGAAAGATGTTCACTTAATCGGCGTGACTAAGGTATGAAGGGAACTCACCTAAAATGGGGTAGAGGAAGTGATGAGAGATTTTTTTTTTTTTTTTTTTTATTAGCTAAACGAGACAGGGGACAAAGTGGCATTCTCCATCCTCGTCCCCGACCCCAGCACCATCTCAATCTTCACAAAAATGAATAGGAAAAGATTTTTGAGAACTCCTCTAAAATCTCGGCCCTGATTCATAAATAATAAAATAATAATAATAATAATAATAATAAATTGTGAAAATAAGAAATGAAATAGGAGACGAGGATGAAGAAGACTTCATAAAATATTAAAATATACTTATATGTCGAGTAAAATCAACATAAGAAGATTTCAACCGTATTTTTCTTATATGATACGATATATTAAATTTAATATTTTATTTTTTAATACACGCAATGAAAACATATTTATATTTATATATATTTATTTTGTTTCCACAAGTGTTTATGGAAAATATTTGTTATATTTTTATAAGTCTCATTTAATAATTATTTAATTTCTTTATTTTTTATTTTAAAAAATAAAAAATTCTCAAATTATCGGATAAAGATTATTCCACCATTAATGTTCCGTTGATAAAAATTATATCCAAATATATTTCCATTACAATTTTTATCTTATAAATTTATTTATTACCATTAATAGAATAAAATTTTAAAACTTCCTACACAAATGGAAGAAAATAAACAACAAAACACCTTCAATTTCATTTTAAATTCTTTCTATTCAACACCTTACTTTAAACTCTTCATTTCTTCCCAAAAATACTTTAATTAAACAAAAATTCTATATTTATAAAATCTTAAAAGATTTCAAAATCATATCCTAAAATCATCAAAAATACGTCGTTATCACGTTATATAAACTCAAACAAGTTGAAATCAAAGCAAAGTTAGCTTTGTCTCAACCATGAATACGAAACTCTGTTGCATATTCTTCTTTGTTTTCGTGCTTTTTAGATTGATCAACGCAAAGCAAAGTCAGATCGACTCAATCGATCTATCCTACGGTTTCGATTTCTCGAAGATTAAGTTCGATATCGAAGGACTGAGTAGAGATGCATTTGCAAATGGATTTGTGTTTGGAACGGCAACTTCGGCTTACCAAGTAGAAGGAATGGCTAACAAAGAGGGTCGAGGACAAAGTATTTGGGATCCTTTCGTTAAAATCCCAGGTTTCATAACATGTTTCCAACTATTTATTTTTTCTAAGGTTATTTCCCCTAATTTCTTTATAATTTTGAATTTAAATAGGAAATATTGCTGGCAACGCCACAGGAGACGTTGCAGTAGATCAATATCACAAATATAAGGTTCGTAATCTTTGAAAATTTAAGATCTCGTTTCATTACCCTCTTTTTTTTTCTATCTACTAATATCTTTTAGAACGAACATGTTTTTCAATTTTCAGGAAGACGTTGATATTATGAAAAGAATGAACTTCGATGCATATCGGTTTTCGATCTCGTGGCCGAGGATATTCCCAAGTGATTACCTAAAATTATTGATTGATTTAGTTTTTTTTTTTAATTATTAAATTCACATTTAATTATATATATATATTTTTTCTTTTATTTTTGCATAGATGGAACTGGTGAAGTAAATTGGAAAGGTGTTGCTTATTACAACAGATTGATTAATTATATGATTGACAAAGGTAATTATTTTATTTTAAATTTGGAATAATAGGTTTTTTTAAAAAAATTCTTATATAATTACTGTTATAATTTCATTTTTTTTAATTATTTCTTTTATTATTATGGTTATATTATTTTCATAATGTACAAGGTATTACTCCATATGCAAATCTATACCACTATGATCTTCCATTGGCACTTCAAGAGAGATATGGAGGCCTATTGGGGAACCAAATTGTGTAAGTTTGATCAAATTATTTGCAAAAATAATAATAATTAAATTAAATTATACACGTACCGTGAACTTTTAAGTTTATTTCAATTATGCCCTCGAATTTTGAAACGAGTTTTTTTAAACGAAAAGGTTAAATTACACCAAAATACCCTGAATTTTGATGTTATGTTTCAATTATGTTCATGAAAAGTTTCATTTTCAAAGTTAAAATAAGATGAAAATAGGTCTTGATGCGTGAAAATTGAAAGCATACGGCCTTTTCTTTTTCAGTCTAAGAGGTATCTAAAATGAATCTTATTTTGTATGAAATGTAGGAAGGATTTTGCAAATTTTGCCGAATTTTGTTTTGATCACTTTGGAGATAGAGTGAAGAATTGGATGACATTCAACGAACCAAGAGTGATAGCGGCATTAGGGTTCGACAATGGCATAAACCCTCCTTGCAGGTGTTCTAAAGAGTATGGAAATTGCACGGAAGGAAACTCTGGCACTGAACCTTACATTGCAGCCCACCACATCATTCTCGCTCATGCTGCAGCTGTGAATATATATCGAACCAATTTTCAAGTAAACAACTTTTTAACTCAACATCACTTTATTAGGTTCTATGTCGTTTAAGTTCTTACGTTTCCAAACATATTTTCTCGTACCATATATGAAATTGAAACTTTAGAATTCTATTACACATAAAATTCAATTTTAGACCTAATAGATCAATTGACTAAGTATAAAATTACAAGTTTCATGACTTGTAAGACACTTTTAAATTTAGAGAATCGTAAGATTTGAGACACATTAATCCATTTGTACTCGTTCTAAAGTATGTGAACCATTTTCAGAAAGCACAAGGAGGCCAAATAGGGATTCTATTGGATTTTGTGCACTACGAGCCTCTTACGAGGGGAAAAAAGGACAATTATGCAGCACAAAGAGCAAGAGATTTCCACCTTGGCTGGTATTATTTGAGGAAATTAAGGTTTGGGGATGAGTTCGAATGGTGATTTTTTAACAAGTTTTTTTGTTTTTTGGATGTGGGTTTAGGTTTTTGCATCCAATTACGTATGGAAAATATCCAAGAACAATGCAAGCAATAGTGAAAGAAAGGCTACCAAAGTTCAGTGAAGAAGAGGTTGGTTTGGTGAAGGGATCCATAGACTTTTTGGGTATCAACCATTACACAAGCTTCTATATGTTCAACCCAGATTGGCCTCATCCTTCTGCCCCTGGCTATCAGAATGATTGGCATGCTGGCTTTGCTTGTAATATCCCCTCTCTCTCTCAAAAACCAAGACTTTTGAAAAAAAAAGAAAAAATTACTTCCAATCCAAGCATTTTCCGAGTTCATTTGGGCAGAATTGTAACGTTTTTTTTATTTGAATGGTAACTTTTTTTGAAACCCAAACATCGTTTTAAACCCAACCCAACCTGACCATAAAGTTTTTGAATTCGATTGTTCGAGTTGTTTATTTAATTTTCTTTTAATAAAGATAAAATGTTAATTCGTAAAACATTTATATATTTATTTTAAAATATTTAGTTAAAATTACCGTTCAATTTCAATATATATTTTTAAAAATTACCTTTAATTCAGTATAATAAGGAAAATTATATTTTATTTAAATTAATAATAAATCAAAGATAATTTGATTCAACCTAATTAATTTTAAGGAAATTCATGAACCAACTTAATCGGTAAAGTTTTCGTTTATTTGAACTCAACCTAACTAAATAAATTCATAACCTTACCATTTAGGTTGAGTTGGGTTGATCAAGTTTTTAAGGTCATTGGATTTTTTGAACACTCCTAAGAACTCCTAAGAACGTTCTACTTTATTAGTAAATTTTGCATTCTTTCTCTACTAATTTCCTTCTTTTTCTTTCACTCTCTACCTATTGGTTTACACAAACAGTTGAGAAGAATGGAGTACCAATTGGTCCACGGGTAACCCATTATTTTGAATGAACAGTTATTAATTTGCTTTGTTTAATTGCTCCTTTTTTTTATTAAGTGCTTAAAGTTTTGCTAATTATGATCAATTTCAGTCCCATAGTTTTTGGCTCTACCAAGTTCCATGGGGAATGTACAAAGTCTTGATGTATGTCAAAGAGCGCTATGGAAACCCTAATGTTATTGTTTCGGAGAACGGTAAGAATCGAGTACATATTCAATTATCAAAAATACGTTGCTTTGAGTTATACACCTAACGTTTAAAAGTTTCATAAAGTTTGTTCCAAAATAATTTTGGTAGGCTTTTGCATCTCCAAATATACTTATCATATTGTTTAGATTTGTTTATTAAGCGATATAGCTTTTTCGGTTCATAAATTTGATGACAAGTCTTCCAAGAAACTTTATAAAGTTTAAGAGTATAATTGGAATCAAAGTCATTTGATTTACTTTTTGTGACAATTATTTTTGAAATCGACAGGTAGGGATACACCCGACATCCAACTCCCCGAAGCACTTTTTGATTTA